CCGGCCCACACCACTTTTAACTTTAAAACGACCTGTAAATCAATTATTTACAGGTCGTTTTTTTATAGGGGCAAGAATAGGGGCAAGGAATATTTTTAAAAAATTTTGAGTAGACTTGTAAGCTCCCCCTTTTTTCGGGCCACTAGGAATTAGAGTTTTTTATTTTTTAGTAATTCTAGGGAAACGGATTAATAAATTCTATTGGGGGGATATTTCCCAAAGAATCATGGGGTCGTTCATGATTGTAATCCTGCTGCCATTCCTCGGCCATTATTCTCACTTCCTGCAGGGTGAAGAAGTGATAGGCATTTAATAATTCCTTTCTTAATGAGCCGTTATTGCGTTCTATAAAGCCATTTTGCGTGGGCTTTCCAGGCTGTATAAATTGTAAAAGTATTTGGCGCTCTTCGCACCAATTTCCAAGTCTATCGCTGATAAATTCCGGGCCGTTATCAACTCTTATTCTGCCTGGTTTGCCCCTTAGTTCTAAAAGCCGTTCCAATACCCTGATAACACGCAGTGCGGGTAGTGAAGTATCTACTTCGATCCAAAGTGATTCCCGGTTATAATCGTCAATAATATTTAACAACCTGAACCTCCTGCCATCAACCAGGCTGTCGCTCATAAAGTCCATACTCCATGTCTGGTTAATACCCGCCGGGAGCACCAAAGGTTGCTTTATTGCGCTGTGGCAGGTCGACGTTTGATCTTTCGGCGGATATTTAGTTTTAGCAACTTGTAAACACGGTATAACCGTTTATGATTACAGTCGAACCCTTTCCTTCGAAGCCGATGATAGCATTTCCAGAATCCAATAGTTGGATGGCGCTTGACAAGTTCTTCCAGCGCTTCCATCAATGCATTATCATCTTTCTGTACCCGCTGGTAGCAAAAGACGGAACGTGGAAGCTTGACCAGTTTACAGGCCTGACGAATGCTGAGTCTCTCTTCTATCAGTTCCTTTACCGCTTGCCGTTTATCGTCAGGCCGCCGAACTTTTTTTCGAGCACGTTTTTTATAGCATCATTTTCCAGGGTAAGGTTAGCTACAATACGTTTTAAGCGACTATTTTCCTCTTCCAGGTCTTTTAATCGCTTTACTTCATTAGCTTCCATACCGCCATATTTGGCCTTCCAATTGTAAAAGGTGGCCTCACTGATACCATGCTCGCGGGCCAGGTCTTTGACCAATTTACCAGCTTCCTGCTGTCTTAAAATGGAGATAATCTGTGTCTC